TGAAGCCAGGAGCCAGGAGTTTCTTCTGGGTCTCCCACGTGGGTGCATGGGCCCAAGAGCTTGAGCCACCCTCTACTGCTTTCCCAGGCCATAGCAGAGAGCTGGATCGGAAGTGGAGCAGCCGGGACTAGAACTGGCGCCCATATGGGATGCCAGCACTGCAGGCAGTGGCTTTATCCGCTACACCACAGCGTCGGCCCCAAACTTTTTTTTTTTTTTAATAAAAATAGAATCGTACCGGGTAGGCGTTCTGTGCAGTGGTCAGGATGCCACTTGGGACACCCATGTCTCCTCTCAGATTGCCTGAGTCCGTGTCCCAGTCCTGTGCCTGAGTCCAGCTCCCAGCTGATGCACACCACATGCTGTGGTGGGGTCCCTGCCACCCATCTGGGAGACCTAGGCTGAGTTCCCAGCTTCCAGGCATTCGGGGAGTGAACCAGTGGATGGAGCTGTCTCTGTCCATCTGCCTGTCTCTCCACCTCTCAAAGAAATAAATAAATAAATACATTTTTAAATAGGATCATATTACTTGCTTTACAACATTTTAAAAAATATAAGTATATTGTAGAGAAGAATTTATAAAAAGGCTAGATAGTTCTCTGTTCAAGCAGTGCAACAGTACTTGTGCTGAAAGAGACGCTAACCGTAAACAGGGAGCACCTGGGAGGACTCCCGGGAGGCAGACTGAGCGCCCGGCTCGTGGAAGCAGCAGTGTCCCTGCAACTTCCGGCATCAGTGAGTCTCGGGACCCCAGAGGGTGGCGAGAGCTGCTGTCACCGGCACTGTTCCTCTCAGTAAATGGGACTTTAATAACCTTTCCAGTTTCCTGCCTTGCTCCAAGACAAGCGTTAACAAGCTGTTCCCCTCTCTTGAAGCTTGCAATAAAGATTCTAGCACAGCATGTGATTTGTCCAGAGAGTTCAACCTGCAAGCTTTCGTGGTATTTAGAGCTGACTACAACCCATCTCAGCTTCCCATTTGCAAAATGACTTCTCCCTTCTGAGCTGTTTATTCTAATTATGCATGTGTGTGTGTGTGTGCGTGCGTGTGTGTCTGCACACATGTGTATATGTGTGTGCTGTCACTTATTCAAAGGTGTTCCTACTTCAGGTGATTAATCCAAGCACAGTTAAAATGATGCTGAGCAGAGTAATCCCTTTTAAAGGCTAGTTGTTAGCAAGGTGCTGTGTAAAAATCTTATGTATGAATAATGCTTAATCCTTTAAACATTTTTTGTAATAAAAAATGACTCTGCATCATTTGAACTGATTGTTGGAGGATACTGGCTCTGAGATAAAATCCCACACTTTCTTTTCTCATGCTTTGCTTGCTAGAATTAGACTGTCCAGCGTAGGCAAAAATTAATTCCGGAAGCAGAAACCTCCTGTTGAGAAACTAAGTGTAGGATTTTATATGGCCACAAAGTAAAAAATCTACTTTTTAGAGCAGTTTCCTGTTCCCAACAAAATTGAATGTAAGGTACATGGATTTCCTTCATGCCCTCTGCACCTACAGGTACAGAGCTTCCCGTGTACCAAAAGTGGCACATTTGTTAAAGTTTAAAAATTCGTTTCTTTTCCTATTTGAAAGTAACAGACAGAGAGATCTTCCATCTGCTGACTTACTCTTGCAGTGCCTCCAACAACTAGGGTGGGGCCATGCCAAAGCCATGAACCTAGTACCACATACAAGTCTCCCATGTGGGTGGCAGGCACTCAAGTACTTGAGCCATGCACTGCTGCCTCCCAGGGCGCACGTTAGCTGGAAGCTGGAGTGGAAGAGGAGGAGCCAGGACTCAAACTTGCACTTCGATTTGGGATGGGGCCATCCTTGATGCCATCTTAACCTGCTGCACCACAACAACTGCCCCCATTTGTTAAAATTGATGACCTATTGACAGATCATTGTCAGCCAAAGTCCATGGCTTCCATTAGGGTTCACTGTTGGGGTTGTGCATTCTGTGGATTTGGACATACTTGTAATGAAGTGGATCCACCATGATGGAACCACACAGAAGAGCTTCACTGTCCGAAAGGCCTTGTGTTCCGCGTGTGCACCTCTCAGCCGCTGGCAGCCCTGACCTCTGCACAGCCTCTGTAGTTTCTCCTTTTCCCAGAATGTCCTGTGGTTGGAGTCATACAGTATGTGGCCTTTTCAGGTTGGCTCCTTTCACTTAGTAATGTGCACGTATGTTTCTTCCATGTCTTTTCATGGCTTCAGAGTTCATTTTTAATGCTAAAGAACCTCCATTGTCTGGAGATGCCAGTTTATTTATATATGCACACACTGAAGGGTGTCCTGGTTACTTGAAGATTTGACTGGAGCTGCTGTAGTAAACCACGTGCAGGTTTTTGTGTGGACTTAAATTTTCTGTGTTTGTTGTTGTTAAGCACTATCTGCAACATTACCTCTTTTTTTTTTTTTTTAAAGATTTATTTTATTTATTTGAAAGGCAGAGTTACAGAGAGGCAGAGAGGGAGAGCGAGAGCGAGAGCGAGAGAGAAAGAGAGAGAGAGGTCTTCCATCCGCTGGTTCATCCCCCAGATGGCCATAAGGCCAGAGCTATGCCAGTTCAAAGCCAGGAACCAGGAGCCTCTTCCAGGTCTCCCATGCGGGTGCAAAGGTCCAAGCACTCGGGCCATCTCCTACTGCTTTCCCAGGCCACAGCAGAGAGCTGGATTGGAAGTGGAGCAGCCGGGACACGAACAGGCGCCCATATGGGATGCTGGCACTGCAGGCAGTGGCTTTACCTGCTATGCCACAATGCCGGCCCCTAGAGCATTTTTAATATGCTTATTTGCCATTTATACTTCTTTGGTGAGGTGTTTGCTCAGGTCTTTTGATCTTTTTTAAATCAATTTTTTTTCTTCAAGATTTATTTTTATTTATTTGAAAGACACTGTTACAGAGAGAGAGGGGGAGAGCCGGAGAGAGAGAGAGAGAGAGAGAGAGAGAGAGAGAGAGAGAGAGGTCTTCCATTCACTGGTTTTTTCCCCAAATGGCCACAATAGCCAGGGCTGAGCCAGACCAAAGCCAGGAGCCAGGAGCTTCTTGCAGGTCGCCCATGTGGGTGCAGAGACCCATCTGCTGCTGCTTTCCCAGGCATATTAGCAGGGAGCTGGATCCAAAGTGGAGTAGCTGGGACTTGAACTGGTACCCTATGGGATGTTGATGTTGTGGGTGGTGCCTTTACCCACTATGCCACAACGCTGGACCATTGTTTTCTTATTGTTGAGGTTTTTTTTTTTTTTTTTTTAAGATTTATTTATTTATTTGAAAGGCAGAGTTACAGAGACAGAGGCAGAGAGAGAAAGGTCTTCCGTCTGCTGGTTCACTCCTTAATTAGCCACAATGGCCAGAGCTGGGCCGATCTGAAGCCAGGAGCCAGGAGCTTCTTCTAGGTCTTCCATAGCAGAGAGCTAGATCAGAAGAGGAGCAGCCGGGACACAAACCAGTGCCCATAAAGGATGCCAGCACTGCAGATAGCAGCTTTACCTGCTACGCTGCAGTGTCGGCCCTTTATTGTTGAGTTTTAAGGGTTCTTTGTATAGTTTAGGTAACAGCCCCTTTGTAAGGTATATGTCTTTTGCAAAGATCTTTTTTTTGATGAGTTCCAACTCTTCACACCTTTCTTTCCCGGATGATGCCTTTGGTGTTGTGCCTGGAGAGTCACCAAGCCCTGGGTCGTCTAGGTTCTCTCCCAGTTACCTTCCAGGAGTTCTTTTTTTTTTTTTTTTTTTTTAATTTATTTTTTTTTGACAGGCAGAATGGACAGTGAGAGATAGAGACAGAGAGAAAGGTCTTCCTTTGCCGTTGGTTCACCCTCCAATGGCCGCTGCGGCCAGCGCGCTGCGGCCGGCTCACCGCGCTGATCCGATGGCAGGAGCCAGGAGCCAGGTGCTTTTCCTGGTCTCCCATGGGTGCAGGGCCCAAGCACCTGGGCCATCCTCCACTGCACTCCCTGGCCACAGCAGAGAGCTGGCCTGGAAGAGGGGCAACCGGGACAGAATCCGGCGCCCCGACTGGGACTAGAACCCGGTGTGCCGGCGCCGCTAGGCGGAGGATTAGCCTAGTGAGCCGCGGCGCCGGCACCTTCCAGGAGTTCTAGAGTTTGCATTTTATATTGATGTCTGTGATCCATTTTGAGTTTACAAATAATTTTCACTTTAATTTCCTGACAAAAGTCATGAAAGGTAAAGGTATTGGATTAGTGTATTAAGACGTTTGGGAAAGCATAGATAGGATTTCCCACTTACTAGCTCTGTGATGTTACACAGATAACCCCTTTAGGACTCAGATCTTCATTTTCTTTTTTTTTTTTTTTAAAGATTATTTTTGTTATTTATTTGAAAGAGTTACAGAGAGAGGTAGAGACAGAGAGAGTGGTCTTCCATTCACTGGTTCATCCCCAGATGGCCGGAGCTGTGCTGATACGAAGCCAGAAGCCAGAAGCTTCTTCCGGGTCTCCCACATGGGTGCAGGGCCCCAAGGACTTGGGCCATCTTCTACTGCTTTCTCAGGCCATCGCAGAGAGCTGGATTGGAAGACGAGCAGCCGGACTCGAACCAGCGCCCATATGGGATGCTGGCACTTCAGGACAGGGCTTTAACCCACTGCACCACAGCGCCAGCCCCAGATTCTTCATTTTCTGGGGTAACAGTACTGACCCTGTAGAGTGTTGATGTGAGAACCAAGTGACATGCATGTAAAACACATGGGAGTTTCCAGAGGTGCAGGGAGGGTAGCTGGCCCAAGAGGGCATGGAAGCTGTGGGCCCCTACCCACCATCTGGCTGTTCATCTGTTTCGTTTGCAATATCTTCTATAAAAAACTGGTGAATGCGCAAAAAGAGAAAACAGTCTAGCACTGTGCCTGCTGCAGAGTAGCAGGTGTTTTGATGGTTCTCGGTGTTGATGAAGACGAACATGTAGACATATACAAGACAATTACAAGTTTTTTTCCTTGCTCCTCACTGATCCTAAGGTCTGTTTTTTTGGTAGGTGGTGGACTTCGTCGCAGCAACACTGCAGAGAGCCTGTGCCAGCTTGGCCCATGAAGCAGAGAGCACTGTGGAGTCGCAGACGCTGAGTATGTCCATGGGGCTGGTGGCTGTCATCCTAGGAGGGGCTGTTCAGGTGAGTTGCAGACGTGAGCCACACTTGTTTTCGAATGGACGAAAAATTGAAGCAGAACACTTGTTGCTTTCCTTCCATATCCTTGTGAGAAATAAGTGGGTATCTGTACATAGGAAAACAGGGTGACAGAGTAGGTTGTTAATGAGAATTCCTGCCAGAGTACAGGACAAGAAGTTGCAAGGCAAGAAGTCTCCCACGTGGATGGCAGAAATCCAAGAACTTGCGTCATCACCTGCTGTCTCCCAGATGTGCATTAGCAGGAAGCTGATTGGAAGTAGAGGCAGGACTAGAAGCTGGGCCCTCCAATATGGATGTCAGTACCCTAGGTGTCAAGTGGAATCAGAGGTAGAGTCAGGGCTTGAACCCAGGCATTTCATTATAGGATGCCAGAGAGCATCTTTTCTTTTTTTAAATATTTATTTATTTGAAAGTTAAAGTGACTGAGAGAGGGGGGAGAGACAGAGATCGTCCATCCTCTGGTTCATTTCCCAGATGGCCACAACAGCCTGGATTAGGCCAGGCTGAACCAGGAGCTAGGAACTCCATCCAGGTCTCCCATGTGGGTGGCAGGGACCAAAGTGCCTGTGCCCTCTTCCACTGTTTTCTCAGGCACATAGCATGAAGCTAGATTGACAGTGGAGTAGCTGGGACTTGAACTGGCATTCTGCTGTGGGATGGGACCACAACATCAGTCCTGGGGTGGAGTCTTAACTGCTGTGCTAAATGCCTACCCCCAGCCACTCTTAAATGCATACGTCAGAGCAGGTGTCGTGGTGTAGCCTCGGCTTAGGACACCAGCATCCCAAATTGGAGTAGCTGGTTCAAGTCTTGGCTGCTGTGTACTTCCAATCAACTTCTTGCTAATGTGCCTGGGAGGGATCTCTGTACTGGATACTGAACAGAGGTGCTGAGGACACAGCCGTGCACAAGGCAGTATCCCTACCCTCAGGACACTTACAGTGCACTAAGAAAGTCGGACACTAAATGACTGTTCAGTAAATATATTTAGAATTAATTGAGGGGCTCGCACTATGGCGTAGTGGGTTAAGCCACCGCCTGCAATGCTGGCATCCCATATGGGCACTGGTTCAAGTCCTGGCTGCTCCACTTCCCATGCAGCTTCCTGCTAATGCACCTGGGAAAGCAGCAGAAGATAGCCCAAGTGTTTGGGCCCCTCACCCATTGAGAGACCTAGATGAAGCTCCTGGCTCCTGGCTTTGGTCTGGTCCAGCCCTGGCCATTGCAGCCATTTGGGAGTGAATCAGCAGATGGAAGACCTCTCTCTCTCTCTCTTCATTCTCTCTCTCCATCTGCCTCTCCCTCTCGGTAACTCTGCCTTTCAACTAAATAAATCTTGGGAAAAAAAATAATTAATTGAATGAAGAGCCTCTAAAGAGAAGTGGACGGTACCAAGAAAATCTAACACCTAACACAGACTGGGGAGTCTCTACTGAGGAAGTGTAAGTTTAAGCTAAGACTCAAAAGAATGAATAGGAGGTTGAGTGTGTGTACAGTGCAATGGAAGAGACTCTTCCAGTTAAAGAAACCATCATGGACAAAGGCTCAGAAGCAGCAGAGAGCTTGGCGTAGTTGAGGTACACTGGTGGAAGGCCTGCGTGGCTGAATGACAGAGGCCAAGGGGAAGAGCGGAGCCAACAAGGGAGAAAGATAGACTGGGCAAGAGGAGGGTAGGGTGGTGTGTGTGTGTGCGTGTGCCTGGTTAATTGCATACCACCTCAGGTTAGGACTCTACAAGAAAACAGAATAGGCTTAGTGCAAGTATTAGGAAATCTGACCTGAAACCAACCTGCTCAACCCTTTGCAAAGAGCAGGGAACCCTCTGGGAATGGATTTTTGAATTTGAGTTTCAGGATTCAAATCTGAGTTGATTATGGATTAGAATTTGCCCTCTTCTAGCCTGTCTTTAAAGGGGAAAGGCACTTTGGCCTGTTCAATGTGAAGCCAGTCTCTTGGTAGATTTACCTAGCACTCCTTATTTTGTAATTCCCATGTAGTCTGGTTCAGTTTCTAGAGCCGTGCTAAATGCCTGCTGTTAGAAGTGTATCAAGGGTTCACAGATTGAATAATTTTTCTTCAGTTGTTTTGTGACTGCATTTGGTTGGCCTGATTCATTTCTGTTTTTCTGGTTGAGTTTTGACTGGAATCATCTTTGTTTCCTTAAGCCGAGAGTGTGTTTTTGCTTCTCTTTATGGAACACTTGCTATTTTAAACCACGTCCCAAGTGGAGAACAGGCCTCAGAAATCTCCCTTTCCCCTGCAGGAGTGCAGCGTCGGGGCCAGGTTGACGAGAGACCCACCCGGCCTGTGTAGGTGCACGTTCCTTGTCTGTCCACGCCCTCCCGTGAGCCACTGTGACTCACTGGCGATATCCTGGGTTCCTCTGACTTGGCAGTTATTTGAGTGAACACAGACACGTCACCCCTAAACTTTCACCCCCTTCCATTAACTTCTTTTCTGTTTGGCACATGAATTTATAAGAGGCTTGCCTCGTAATGCCGGGTTCTCCGTGCTTACATTAGGGGGAGAGTCATGATTCAGAACTATGTTTCCATTGATCGTTGGCAGGCTCAGGCCTTAGCTTTAGGCTCTGAGCATCACCCCGTGCTGATCCTCAGTAGCAGCCCCTGTTCTGGCTAATGAGGAGAGTCCAACACCATCTGAGCCCCTTTTCCTTCTTCGCTTTCTAATTCATGTAATTAAGGTGATCATTAGAACATCGTGTCTGGAAGAGAGAGTTAATTTGGAAGAAGTGTAGATCTCAGAGTGTTAACAAGGCAAGTGTGGTCCAGGCTCATTTTCTAAATGTCAGGGTTGTCATCCGTGCAGGTGTTACGCTGGTGGCTCCTCTTGTCCCCAGTAGCGGTTTCTGCCCGACGTTGCGTTGTACTTGGGTCCTCCACAGGCTGCAGCGCGGGAGCTCTGAGAAGACCATTCCAGAGCTTTCTTTAGGGAAAAAAAGCCATTCTTCTTGGCAGTTTAAAGCCTGGCTGAATCGTCACTGGGAGACAGAAGATGCAGCTCTCCTCTGGGGGCGGTGTCTCCTGCGCGGGCTTATGTGTGGTTTGGTCTTTGACCGAAGGCCGTTGCTCAGACTTTGTGGGCACGCGACTGTGTTTTAGGTGCTGTTGACTTACATATCAGAGTCTAGCCAATGTGGCATGGGTGTTGGTGCGTGGTTAAGCCACCATTTGGGACACCCACACATCCCTTGTTGGAGTGCTGGGTTCAGTACCGGCCGCGCTCCCTTACAGCTTCCCGCTAATGCGAACCCTGGGAGGCAGCAGTGATGGATCAAGTACTCGGGTCCCTGCCACCCACATGGGAGACCTGGATTGAGTTCCTGGCTCCTGACTTAGACCTGGCCAATCCCAGCTATCTCGTGGACATTTGAAAGAGTGAAGTAGCAAATGGGAGATCTCTTTCTGTCTCTGTGTCTATCTCTTTATATGTCTCTCTAGGCCTTTCAGATATATAAAAAAATAAATTTAAAATGAAAAGAATCATAGCAAATGCTTAGAGGCTGAGATGGAAGCTGTGGTGAGCAAGCCAGAGGTCTGCTAGGGACTGGGGAAAGGGAGAGAGAGAGGAGCCGCTGAGAGCTTGGGTGTGCGGCAGGTGAACTGGCAGGCCTGGTCCCTGTGCTGGGACACTGTCCTTGCTTCCTTTGCCGGGCTGGAGGTGAGTGCTTTTGAGAACAGCTTGGGAAAATTCCCGTTATTTCGAGCCATTATGGGTAACTTCAAAGAGCAACCAATCATGTGTAATTACTGCTGCCCCAAGCAGCTAGTTCAGAAATGTCTTACTTTCTGCCGTTTTAAAAA